TTACTACAGCTATTATACGTTTTTACTATTACAGCTATCGAGATTAACGAATCGTGAGATGTTTTTAAAGTATTTAGATCTATTCCCATCACATACAATGTTGGCGTGATGAGCATTGAGCAGATGACAGTGTGTTGATCGCGAGAATGAAGATCTTATCATTGCAACACAGTTTCTGCACTCTCTCTGCTTTCACCAATGCAAACACGATGCTGTAAATACAGTAAGAGCTTCGTTGTGCAGTGTAACGTGCGTCATTGAATTCATAACGAGTTTGGCAAGTGTCCAGATAAACTCGCGCTGTGGAAAGATTGTTCTTTGATCCTTTCTGTATATAATTTATTCACAATTTAAATAAGTTTTTTTTCATCCTACTAAAAGAAACGATGTGAAGTTGATATTTTAGTCACTGGCTTGGCTTACTGATGCATAAACAGTATTGAACGATTTTAAGAGAAAGATTACCTGTCTGAACTTGAACAATTACACATCAGTTCAAGTGTTGCTTGGTAGCTCGATCCGAGTTGAGGAAACAGTCGTCGGTGAAATGTTTGGAAATTTCCAGAGAAAATAAAATTAACCCATGTTTCTTCAGAGGCTCGGATGAAGGAACTAAAAAATACTTTTGTGTTCATGTGTACATCCAAACACTGAGCAACTGCCATGCTTCGGCTGCGCAGTGCCGCCTGGCATTGAACATGGGCTGGCATATGCAAATTCTTGGAGTCGTACATATTAATGATCCTGACTGTTGCGTCACAGTCGGGTATATGTGGAGATTCGCCTGTTTTTCAGGGGTGTTTTTCAAAAACGAGATTTAAGTAAGAAGGAGAAAACAATGGTGTTTGAGACTCACTGTATGTCATGTCCATGTACTGAACTCTTGTTATTTAACTATGCCAAAATAAATTCAATTTCACATTCTAGGGCACCTTTAAGTGTTTGTATAGCTACAAATCAGTTCATTTTTACCTTCAATATTATAGTAGGCTAATGAAGCATAGTGGGTTACAACTGACTCCCATAGTTTACAGCATTAGTTAAGAGATTTGCTTTCCTTGAGAAAATTTGCCATGTATTGTACCTGATATCCAAAATGATCAATATTGAATCGAATCGAATCGAATTGCAAGCTTGTGAATCGAAATCGAATCGAATTGTGAAATTTGTGTCAATACCCAGCCCTATTGTACACTATTAGTATTCCTATCACAGTCCTGCAAAGATGACAGAAAATGTACTCGCATTTGCTGTCCTGCGGCCAAACATGAGAGCGGTTGCGTTATAGACCAAACATATAATGGTGAGTGAGTGGTACCTGGACGCATCAGTGAATGGTGAGATATTTTGCTAAATAAAATGATCCTGAGGAAGAATAGCATGAGAACTTAATGATGTCTGTTCTGTCGGTATCATCTCAGTGAGCTTTTCTGAGGGTTTACGCATGCGCAGTAAGGCGAATTTAGCGTTTGCCAACGTTTCAGTGTGGATGAGAAAGACGTAGTCCCACGGTTCGTCTCGGAGAACGTTCAATTAAGGCGGAAACACCTGAGAGAGAAAGAGACACGTGAGCTTTTAATGAACTCGATGTTTTTTTTCCTCCAGATGCTGGGAATGCTGTGCGCTGGTGTGGTGCTGTGTCGCAGAAGCCGGGACCCGGCCTATGAGCTCCTCATCACTGGAGGGACGTATGCATGAAAAAACCTAGCAGACAGACTCTCTCTTTTCATGCACACACCAACAGTCACACACACACACACTGGGCTCAGGGTTCTGTCGGTGTGAGGTGGCACACTGGATATGCCCTTATATATCTCTTTGTTTCTACACACCTCACACAGGGTTTGCTCACACAATTCACTGGTGATGGGTGAAGCGAAGTGCATAATATTTATTTATACAGTACGTCACTGAAAATGACTGCGTTTTAATTTAAACCTTTGTCTTTCTCTCAAAGGCGTTGGGCCAGGCCGCAAAATGGCGAACAGCCAGTTTTTTATCCCGTTGAGAAGATTAAATGAACACGTGTATCGATAACATTTTCTCTTCCTCGTCTCTATCATATGGAGTGGAAGATGCTGTTATTGTATGGAATAATATGTGGAATGTATGCTTTCCTCATTTGTTAGTTTGCACTATGTGTACGGTTTAATTCTATATTACAAATACCAAGGTGGTAAATGGCTGGGATGGAGGAAATGAGGATCAACTCGTGGTACCGCTGTCTCAGATGTCACCCATCACCAGTCCGCTGCTCAGGGACAGTGGCAGTGTGAGAGACAGGTCTGGATTGACCACACAAGATTACTTGGCATTATGGGTCCAAATCGTACAGCTAAAGTGAACTATATGTTCGAAATGGTGTTCACAGCGGTTTACATGTAAAGTGTAAAGAGGTTTGGGGGACACTCTACATGCACTACCTAAAAGTTACCAAACTTATATTATTTTCCTTCTTTTTCCATTGCTTACAGTGTGAACATTACTAGTCTAGTAATATATAGTTTAAAGTTAGTTTGGATAACATGTAGGTATGTAGAACAGGGTCAAAAGTGTGTTAGTTTAAATGAATGTACATAGGGAGGAAACAAATGGTGAAAAGCTCGCAATTTCGATCTTCAAATAAATGTTTCATAAGTTGACACCTGTTATGTTGTTTCATTTTTGGCTTGAATGCTGTGGTTGCAAAATAACAACATGCAGGTACTTTAAAACAAGATCCCAGTAACACAAGGTAGTAAAACCGCAAGTAAAAATGTGGGACAATTTAAAAATAGCCAGAATTGACAACAGTTGTGTTTTGTTGTAATAAATAAAATAAAAATTCTACAAATAATTACTTGTATAGTATAAAAGGGTATTATAATATACATATAGTAATACAAAATTATATTACATTTTAAAATAGCTATTTGAATATGTTATTAAAGTGTAATATATTCCAGTGATGTCAAAGTTGAATTTTCAGCATCATTAATCCAGTCCTCAGTGTCACATGATCCTTCAGAAATCTTTCTAATATGCTGATGTGCTGCTCAAGAAACATTTACGATTATTGTCAATGTTGATGAAAGTTTTTGATGAATAGAGAGTTGACAAGAACAGCATTTATTTGAAATAGAAATCCTTTGTAACATTAAAAACATCTTTACTGTCACTTTTGAAATGACACAGCAGTGACTGATAGTTATTCCAGCAATGAACTAAAGTGCTACTGATCAACCATATAACTAAAAATGTCAACTGGCTCCTAAATGTTATATTTTAGGAACCAGTGGCTTTTTTTTTCTGGAGCTCTGTAACAACATATTTGAGCACAACTATATCATTCATGGCTGTTATCCCACTCTTGAGCAATCCCATTGTGCACAAGGCACTCGGACCCGTCACGGATGTTCAAAGATGCCTTGTCTGGAAGCTGTCTTCAGTCAGGCGGGCTGAACACTTGATAGCACGGGACAGGGTCAAAGTTCAGTTGTTTCCCAGGGAGGGGGATGTGTGCCATCTGCTTGCTGTGTTGGACATGCTTAGTAACATGCCTTCACACTTTATCTAGAGGGGGGAAGTTAGATCGCCCTGATCTTGGAGCCCTTAATAACACAGCATTTGCTAGCTTTAATGGCAGGGTATTAATAGTAGATATTTGAAATGTAATAATGTGCTTGTCATGTGGGTTTCCCCTGTATCGTTATATTTGGAAGTGAAACAGGATCTGTGGAAAAGAGGAATGTGAAACCTTTTAACCTGACACCTGTAAGGAATTAGCATGGTGTTGGTTTGCTGTGGTACTGAATAAAAGTATAGCATTACTACACTACCATTCAAAGGCTTGGGGCCAGTATGGTTTTTTGTTAAAGAAATTGTAACTTGGATGCATTAAATTCATCAAAAGTAACAGTGAAGATATTTATAATGTTACCAAAGATGTCTATTTCAAATAAATGCTTTTCTTTTGAACTCTATTCATCAAATAATCATTAAAAGTATCATGGTTTTTGCAAAAATATTAACTTTTTTACCATTGATAATAATAAGAAATGTTTCTTGAGCAGCAAATCAGCATATTAGAATGATTTCTGAAGGATCATGTGACACTGAAGAGTAATGATGCTGAAAATTCAACTTTGACAACACAAGATTTCTTTTTTAATTATATTAGAAAGCAGTTATTTTACATTGTAATATTTCACAATATATTACTAGTATTTTGATTAAATAAATGTATCTTTGATGAGCATAAGAGGCTGTCAAAAACATTTTAAACAAATCATACAGACCCCAAACTATTACACTGACTGCAGTATATTTTTAAGCTTATTATTTATAAGTTTAATATTTTGCTGACCTTGTAATCAACAGTGATTGCTAAACATTTATCTGTAGAAATAGCCTAGGATATCCTTCCCATTTCAAATATAATAGAACAAGACCAATGACTGGAGGGATGTGAAACTTTAAAACATTTGCGTCAGGTTAGTTTGTCTGAACCAATTGCCTTTCAATGCCTGAGGAAAGTCAAAGTATGAGTCATTACCCAAATTAAATTCAGTCAACGGCAACATGATGCAATGATCATTACACAGATTTATTGTTCATTTTATGCCATCCCATAGGGTTCTATATTGAACCTTTTTTTCTAAGAGTGTATAATAGTTAAAACTACATGACCTCACATTGATTAACTTTCCAAAAATGTAATTCTGTGAAGATATCTGTACATTGTCTTTCTCATAAACTAAATCATGGCAAGTCCGTAGTGCCTAGTCATAATCTCTTATACATTCTTATGCTGTTTATTCACAATAAATAATTTTCTAAACAACTTTCTAATAAATATAAATCTCTATCTCAACAATAATGATAGTCATGTATAATTACCAGTTTTTAATATACAAATTAACCCGTTTTGATTAACTTACTACAACCCATAGAGATTTTCCATATGGATGTGCTACTGCATAAATAAATGCATTTTGCAAATGGAAATCTTCCTTTATAAGGAGTGGCCTTAATAACTCTGCTATTAGAGAGATGGGGGTGCAAGGACATGGAAAGCCGTTCCAGCGTGATCTAGTCTCTTAATTCATATCTTGGCCAAGTATGAGCCTGGCACCAGCCCAGTGTGGCCGTCCCTGTCCACCGTCCACCAGCCGTCTCCTCCCTGATCCACCACGAGCAGAACTTCCCCCACAGAGATGGAGAGCTCATCAGTGCCCTGCACACAGGACTTAAACGGTTAGTTCACCCAAAAATGATTTACTCTCCCTCAAGCCATCCTAGATGTGTATGATGACTCTCTTCTTTAAGCCAAACACAATCTGAGTTATATTAAAAACATATCCTGGCTCTTCCAAGCTTTATAATGGGAGTGAATGGGAACTTGGATTTTGAAAGCCAAAAAAAAAGCATATAATCTTGCTAATCTCTATTAAGGCTATTTTAATAATATTTTCCTAGGTTTTTTTTACCTGAGCTACGTAGTCATACTGAGCCTGGTATGTGGCGCTCTGAGAGACAGCAACGTTTGAAGTTCCTTGTGGAAATACAGGAATGGAAGCATACACTCCATCTGAGTCGGCTGAAAAGAAAAAAATAAACAGAATAATGACAGTGTATATATATATATATATATATATATATATATATATATACACACACACAGAGTAGTGGCCAAAATTGATGTTGTCGGGCCTAGGAAAATTGACATCTTTTTCAAATATTATTTGTAAGCATATTGCGCAGTTGTGCTTGGAGTCAATTGTTATATTTGTGATAACGCAATGAAACATGGCAAATTGTGCGGACATCATTTCTGGCCATGCAGTCATACAAAGAATTTATGGACACAAGCAAAAACAAGAGAGAACCAGCGAAATATTGTTGTGTACCAACTGATTTTGTTGTAGTCAATGTATGGTTTTTTGCCCATTGTCAAGCAACCTGCACCTGTAGTTTCTGCTTTTTTTGCCAGATAAACCTTTATTGATTTGTTCTTCCTTCATATTTTAAATATTTAAAAAATATAAACAATTTTTTTTCTCATATTTTGGTTTTATGATGGTTTAACCAAACTTGTAGGGTCATTAAAACCAAATAACATCACTTTTGGCCACTACTGTCTGTCTGTCTGTATGTATGGATGGATGGATGGATGTTGACAGCAACTAACACATACAATTTATTTTTAAACAAATTTTGATTTTGTTATTGTTATTTATTGTATTATTTTGTTTTAGGAAAATAATGCATAAAAAAATAAAAATACCGGTACCCAAATCCTATTCAATGAAGTCATAGGGTGGGCTGAAGTGCCCCCTGGTGGTGAATAACATTTGTGTTTACAGTAACTACAAGATGAAGATGGCTAGAATTTAAAAACAATGTAACGTGCAATTTGAAATATATATGAGAGCTGACAATGTCATTAATATGTTGTAATATGTACCTGATGGAGGTGCTGATGGCTGAATACAGTCATTACTAGTCTTTGAGCCAACGGCACAGTTGCCTTGCAAGAGATTTGAAAACCTTTCAAAAAGAAAATAATCACTTTCATAAACATGCGTAAAGAGAACATTAAAAGTGTTAATAATTTAATGCGAGGTCACAAGCTATCTAGATAAAAATTATTTTCTACATAAAGGGCAGATTGAGATAATGTATTTACTGATAACCACACACACAAAAAAAGTTTCTGTACAATGTTTTACTTGTTAATGCACTTTATATGCTCACAGAGAGCAGTATATCACACCTCCCCACATCCGCTTGCAGCTTCATGTTTTACTGATCTCTAATAATAGTACATGTTCCATGCATTTCTGTTTTGTCAGCATGGCAAAATTTAGACATTAACATACTGATCCAGCAGTGGAAAACAAACCTCTTTATCACACCTCCACCGAAGCGCGTGATGCCGTTGCTGTCCGTTGCTGGTTCTCTGTCATAATAGTTCTCAAACACAATAGGCGCTACAGACAGACAGAGATGGAAAGTTTCATTAAGCAAACCCTCCTCAAAATTTCTTCCGAACTATATCATCCAATCATATGGTTATGGAACTAAACTATGGGCGATTTGAGAAGTTAAATACAATAACCCAGTGGAAACAATACATAAAAGCACTGACCTGAAGGAGTGGTGCCGGTACTTTTCGTCTTGATGAAACAGTTTATGTCTTCCGTGATGTCACACATTTCTAAAACTGCCCTCACCTCCTCATAACACTGAATAAAAATGAACAGTAATTTGACAATAAGGGAAGCACTTTTTTTTTTCAATTACAGAGAGTTACAAAAGTCTGAGACCACAAGTGAAATGCATTATATTTTGCATTTTTATCATTTAATACCACATTTTTGATACAAAATGTTGCTCTTTCGCTTTAATGACAGCAAAGATGTCATCCAGCATGATTTGAGAATTTTCCTGCAGAGCAACGAAGTTCAAAGGATCAGTGACAAGTTTGCTTAAATTTAAACAACTAATATAAAGAATAATACATATTTCCTACTCAATTTACATAATAGAATTTCGTTATTTTAAGGCAAGAAATCCCAGGGATTTTTTTTTTTAGATAAATATGTAGCCACGCCCCCTTTCAGTGCTGCACTGTGTTTAACTCCACATTACGTTAACTCCGTATTTCGTTAACTCTACATTACGTAAATCCACTTGGCCAATTACTCCTCGACAGCGATGCCGTAGAATTATACAGAGCTACCGCAAAAAAAGGAAGTTCAAACACAAAATTCTAAAGATGGCTGTGCGCTTGTTTCTCTGGTGCATAAGGCCTACTTCCCCACTTAATTATTCACAGTACATTTAGAAAATAATTTTGTATTAAAAGGTTTCAGAAATGTTATGTTTAAATATGCAAACGAGGCATTATCTAATTAAATATGCACTAATTTGCATGTATTTCCTGAACAGAAATCTAAAAATTTTGTTGACATGCTGTATATCCTCCTGAGACCCAGAAAAAAAAAGTTTTTTGAATTTAGTTTTTTTCCATGTCATCACACTGTTTAGAGCACAATAAACAAATGGTAAAAAAACATATATATAAAATAATATTTTATTCATACGTTATGCTATGTCCTCTGTAGTGGACGCCAGGACTAAGTTGTTTAAAAAATAAAATGACATGAAATTATATGTATAGGCAAAAACAATGGGATTTTTTTTTTCAATCACCAATACATTTTGGGGTTTCAGGATTTTTTCAACCAAAATTTGTATAAAGATTATTCTCAACTATGTTATGAAAGAAATAATGGAATGAATTGATACACCATTTTACTTTTTGCAATATGTGGGTAAAATGGCCATAAGTTAATATTCCCATTCAATGCAATGTATCTATACACTGTATCTAATTTGCACATTAATGTGTTCTGGGAGCAACATTTAATGAAAGAATAAAGGGTAATAATTGGAGTAATAATTGGCAACATTTTAATAATAATATCTAACATTTGATCACTAAATTAATGTCAGACATTTTTAAAGACCAAGGAGAAGTTGTTTTCATGGTGAAACCTCCAAACATTTGGTATCTCTGAAAAGTCCTGAATGCGCTCTTTACAGGACACCCAGGTTGTGTCATGTGACATGTATGATGTCAGAGAAATTCACTAAAATATAATGTCCACTACAGTGGACAAAAGTCTATTCTTGGGTCCCAGGAGGATATAAGAGTTAAAGGTTATACAGAGGGGGATAAATCAGTAATACCGGTAATAAGTCACTCCATAAATCAGTAATACTGTCACAAAAATATATATTTTTGACCACCATTCACCATTAAATGTTATAAAAACCAGGCGAATGATATATGAACAAACCTCTCTGTGAAAACCTTAAGAATGTAAGAAAAGAAACTGGAAAGTCTGATGTATTTAAGTGTTAAAACTCATTTTGAGAAAACAGCGTTTAAAGATATGTATTGTAATTGTAAGTTGGTAACACTTTGCAATAAGGTCCCATTCGTTAATATAACCATTAAGTAATATTAACTAACAATAATAAGCAATACATTTGTTAATCTTTATTAACATAGTTTATAAAAATACAACTGTTTATTGTTAGCTCATATTAGATCAGGTCCCTTAAATCATATTTTGATTTCAATAATGTATTAGTAAATGTTAGAATTAAAATGAACTAAGATTAATAAGTGCTTTTTTATAGTTAGTTCATATTAACTAATGCGATAACTAATGTTAATAACAAATAGAACCTAATTGTTAAGTATTACCTCAAAATAAACACTTTAAATGTGTATTTTGGATGTTTTTTTTTCTTCTAGTTTGAAAGAAGACATGTTAAGAAAGCAAAATAGCCCAAAATATTAAAACTGACCAGTGCATGGAGAGAGAAAAACAAACAAAAAATGATGGCTTTGCCTGTACTGTCTTGCCTTAAATTGATAAAAATGTGAAAGAAAATCAATATTTTTAATTCGCTTGTATTTAATAATGTCTGTAGCAATTATCAATGTGATCTTTGAAAAAGCTTCATTAAGTAATACTGACCTCATCTTCTTTGACACATTGCATGGAAAAGTGGTTACAGTGGACCCAAATAGCATTTCTCAAAATATTAATACGATCATCTTCCTGCTGCTGGAAGACCTGGAGAAATAACATCATGATGTAAATACGGTCTACAATGCCTTTAAAGGGATACTCCACCGTTTTTTCATATTAAACTACCGGTATGTTATTCCCTTAAGGTGCTTGGCAAGACAGAGCGATTGAGTGCACGCACTGAGATGAGAGAGGTATGTATCAGCTCGTCTTAGTTAAGGGAATAACAGTTTAATATGAAAAAACGGTGGAGTGTCCCTTTAAGTAGAGTAATTGGTAATTTAACCAAGTCTTTGCCAAACTGTCAGTGGGACACATGATGATCAGAATTGGTGTTATGGATATACTTATTTCAAGCCAAAACAAAAGTTTCTTGTGCAGTTTAGTTTAGTATGTGTGGTTTGTGTGGTACGCAGTGTGTAAAACACCGAGAAAAAGGAAGTTCATTTTTAGTGTTCTATGTGGTTCACAGCTTCAGCAGAGAGCTATTTCTGAAGGACAGCAAACAGATAGTCGTGTGTGTGTGTGTTTCTCTTTACCTCACATGTGCATTCATGCGTGGTCTCCCATTCCTGACGAATCTTATCCAGCTGCTCTATGTTTGACATGTACTGTTTCTCTGTCAATCGAGAACAAGCATCAGCCTCATTGGATTTCCAGCAATTGAAATCTTGCTTGAAAGTAACTGAATTGTGCATTTTAGGCATTACCAGTGTATGTTTCCGGTTCAGATGTATCAATTTAACACTTTTGCATTGCAAGCTGATGCTGCAATGTGTGAAAACAAAAGCGTATTTCCATTCTCACCTGCATCCGCGGACGCGTCCCTGCACTGCTTTGCTTTGCTTTGCATCTGTTATGGAATAGAGCACAACATTGTTCAAAAATACTCAGTGGCATCAAACAATATCACTAGCATTTGTACCAAAATTTTAAAATGGTTATAAGAACTCATTATTGGATCAGGAACAACTTAGGGTCAGTAAATTTTTTAATGTTTTACATAGAAGTCTCTTATGCTCACCAAGGCTGCATTTCTTTGATCAAATAATACAGTAAAAACAGTAACACTGTGAAACATTATTTTCTGCGTCCCAGCAATCAATAATTTGATCCCTTAAAACTCATCTTTGATCATCAAAATGACATTTTTAAATGTTTCTTACCTGTGAAAATGATTTCTTCATGCCTTAAAATTGCTTGAATGTAACTCTACACCCTTGCTTCATATAATATACGTGGATTCATGAATATGCAAATTAGTCTCCGCCTCTTCTTACACGAGCTCAGACTACCTGATCCACTCGCTACACAATGCCAAGTGGAAATATTGGTTTAGTCCAGCCATATATATTTGAACCAGAAACAGATTCAGATTCAGAAGAGTGAATTATACAGGGTCGTCTAAAAGTGGATATATCAGAATGATAATGCGTTTTATGTATCGTTCTCAACAACATCGGACACATAACGGTAATTGATATGATTAGCCTTTTGCTTGGCTACGTTATCAAACAGCTAATAATGTGTTGCTAATGTTACACATCCCACGCTCCCATCTCAGAGTCAGACAGCTGCCTTCTAAAAAACAGCATCCTTAGAAACACTGAACATCATAGAAAGGCCACACGCTGACGGGATGTTTGTGATGGTGGGAAACAGGGGCGGTTTCCAAATTCTACCCAGAATAATCCATATTTTACCTTTTCAGATTGTTTAGGGGTGACAGTGGGTGTACTGTTGAGCTTCTCCACAGCCTGTTCAGCTTCATCAGCCTCTTTACATCTCTGTTCATACGCCCTTTTAGACTGGGAGAATAGAGAAGTGCAGGGTTATTATGGCACTACTCATATAGACTTGAATGATGGCCAAATGACTTGAAAAAGCTAAATATATTTCATTCAAATTTAAATTAATATGCATGGAATTTCTTGTAGTCTTAATACTAATTAATTTATACTAATTTGTTACATTTACATAGTGCTTTTCTGGGTACTCTAAGTGCTTTACATATGAAATATGGGAATGTCCTCATCCACCTGGATGATGCGGCGGCAGCCATATTTCACCAGAACACACACCACCAGCTTATTGGTGGAGAGGAGACAGAGTGATCAGCCTATCAGTATATGGGGATGATTAGGAGGCCATGATGCCAATGGGTACATTTTTGGCCAGGATGCCTGGGTTACACCCCTACTCCTTTTCGAAGAACATCCTACACCCAGGGTGTGTTATGACCACAGAGAGTCAGGACCTCGGTTTAATGTCTCATCTGAAGGACGGTGGTGAATTACTTCTTAAATCTTGATTCTTGGGTTTGTTTTCTCACTCTATTGTGTCATGAAAAGTCACAGAAAAGGCAAGAATAAACTTTATCTACTTGACTCAACTGCTTTCACTGACCCAAACATAGACATATACAATCAATCTGCTCCAAATTAAACAGATAAAAATGATTAATTCAATGTACAACCACCATAAAGCAACAGGAGAACAATACATACAGTAAACTAATGTAAAACTAAACTTCCTTTTATATAATTCATTATGCTGATATCACATCACATCTTTTTTTTACTTCCTCCAAATACTGCTTCTGCTGCTTATAAAAAATAAAATAAAAACACTATAACACCATAATCTCCATCATTTTTATGTGATCAGATATGACATAGATTTCCAGTACTGCTTAATGGAAGATTGCAGAAATTCAGTTGATTTTGTCTTTAAGACAGAATGATTTCTGAAGCTAAAAAACAGAACTCACATTTGTGGAAGCTCGTTTCTGCCACCGAGTAAAAAATAAAAAAGGTAATTGCCCCTTTTTATCTCGCAATTCTTCTCAGAATTGCGTGATATAAACTCAAAATTGCGAGAAAAAAGTTTATATCATGCAATTCTGAGAAAAAAGTTAGAATTGCGAGGTAAAAAAAAAAGTCCGAATTGTGAGAAAATAGATTTACGAGATTTACAATACATATTTAATATACAAGTAACATATCAGAAATCAGCATATTAATGTCAAATTTAGAATATCATCAAACTTAAGAAAACAAGGACATGAAGTGGTGCCTTAAAAAAACGTAAATTGGAAAAATAATTTAAAACAAGAGCCAGAGCAAATACTTTACCTGACATTTTTATATAGAAACTATACAGAAACAAACTATCTGTGAAATTAGATACTGATAACACTTCTGCGGATATTCATAGCAAGCAAAGTGTCTCAGCTGAAAAAAACACTGCCAAAACACTCACCAAAGCGCACACAGCTAGGCGTTTTCAGCTGGCAAAAAATGCGTGTGGACAAAGAAAACACTTTTTTTTCTAAGTGCGCCTTAGAAAAAAAAAGTTTCAATAAGGTTCTATATAGAACCCTAGGATTCTTGACTCAATTCTAAAGAACCCTTTATGCCAAAAAGGTTCTATATAAGAAGAAATTCAAGTGATAAATTATGTTTATGAGCCGTTTAATTGATAAAATGAAATGAAAATAAAAAAATGTGAAAAAAACTAAATCCATAAAATAATCTCATGATGGGAAAACCTAAAGGTTCTAAGGTTTTTTACAGAACCTTTTTTTTTTTTATAAGAGTGCAGGGACAGTCCCGCTGACAACCTGTTGTGCTTTTGAACAATGGTGTAAGTTCATTAACTACTTCGGAACTACAGTAAATACCTTTCATTTAGTGGTTATCATAACCCTCATCTTTAACCACTAAGTCAGACAACCACCTTGACAGTTCCTGACTAGATAGTCACATCCCCTTTTACTCGTTTGTTTATCAAATCAGATCAGTTTTCACAATGCTATATAAAAATACGAAGTAACTTTACCCTTCAACCTCTCCTCGCCTCAGTCCTAACCTAACATACGCGTTTGCTTTCTGAATGCGTCTGATGATGTACCAAGACAAACGGAAATGCATCTTTTTCTTGACAACAGCAGTCTGTTTCAGGAAATTGCAAATATATGAGGAACAGAAAAAAACCCAACATTGATAAAATAGAGTCTGAGTTGGTGGGAGTGACCAGAAGTGTGCAGACGAGAAAAAAATACACTTCTAGTAGAGAAGTGAGACTTCCTGAGGTGACCGTTACAACATTGTGAAGACCCATCCCCCTCCCTGCCCTGCACACTAGCTGCAAAGAGTTTAGCACAAGCACTGATGATTTAAATCACTCTCATTTCTCCCTTCCTCTTCCTGATATTCTGCTTTCAGTTTGTAATAGGCAAATACATGATTCACTGAGTAGCCCATAAAACTGAAGTCACTAAAGCAAGTTAGACTCACCTCTGTGGTTTTCTTATGTAATGATACTTTGATCTTCTGAACCTTTTCCATGACCCCTTCAAACTGTAAAAAGAAAACATTGAATTCTTGAGCTTTAATAAATCAAAAGCAACTTGGTTTAAGCAAAAATACTATTACTATTGGTTCGCACTTGTGAGAAAGTAGTTTGCGGTTCTGCGAGTTTAGATTAATTAAAGCATCGCATAGCATTTCACCTTTTTCCGCTGCTCCTTCTGTCGCTCTCTGAACTGCTCCATTCGTTTCACCTCTTCTCGTAACATCCCAGAAAGCTGAATGTGCAAATTTCCAATGTTCTCCATTTCTAGGATAGAAAACAGCATATTCATCATGAGTGATCTTGAAGGTATGGGTTTAGTATATTTAATATATACTAGTAACTGATTATATGTAATCTGGATTACGTAATCAGATTCCCAAAATTATATACTTTTTTTTTTTTAAATACTTAGATTCAGACTAGTTACATTTTTATTGATAACATGACTACTTAAAGGAATAGATCACTTAAAAATGAAAAATTTTACCCTCAAGTTGTTTCAAACCTGTATGAGTTTCTTTCTTCTGCTAAACACAAAAGAAGATATTATGAAGAATGATTTTTTTTTCCTACTATGGATGTCAATAGGGTCCATCAACTGTCTGGTTACTGACATTCTTCAAAATATTTTCTTTTGTGTTCAACAGAATAAGGAAATTCATACAGATTTGAAGCAGCTTGAGGGTGAGTAAATGATGACAGAATTGTCCTTTTTAAGGTGAACTATTCTTTTAATATTCACAAAATGGCAGTAAATTATTAAACATTACTGGTTCTCACTAATTCTTATTTTTCACCCTTTAAACGGTCCTTTCTAAAACAGCATATTGCTTATGTATGTTCAGAAAGTCTTCCAGTTTACACAAGTCAGAGGCCACACAGCATAACAAATAAAACAGTCAAATAATCATAATCAATAATAATTTTTGTGTTTTATTTTGATTGTTTTTTTATTTGATTTTATTTTCATGGTTTAAATGATTACCTTTTCATAAACCCTCTGCAGTTCCTTTTAATGTTCAATTCCTGTTGTAATGTAATGTTTAATGCACTTCATTTTGTTGATGACAAATTTTCCACATTTTTTTCTCGTTGTATTTGCATATCACTATAATACGAGATTATCCTATTCAAGTCTATTATGATAAACAAATTAAGGCTAAAAGTAAGGTCAAAAGTAATCAAAAAGTAGTCAGATTATATTATTGTAATTTAATAAATTATGTTACTAACTACAGTTTTCAATTTGTAAGTAATCTGTAGTATATTTAGTATGTTTTATATTCTATGTGTGTTTGTGAACACTTGCTTTTTAAAGCAAACTAAGCAAATTATCATATGGGGTGATACTTACGGACTTTTAGTTGGTCAAATGATGCCTTCAAAGTGCTACAAGACCAAATCAACAAAATTAAGACAAAATAATATTGATTAGTATACAAAATATTAAAACCAAAAGACAATGTTTACATAAGTAAATATATTCAATAATGCATACAATGTTTGCTTACCCAATTTCACTTTGCCCTCCTGTCTTGCGTGCGATAGTAATCAATTCCTTGCCGTATCTTTCCTCCGCCATCGCCCTATGAGCAGAGGAATGTACTATGTTAACCAGTACCGCTTTACTAGACCATTGCTAATCAGCGTACTTTGAAAAGATTCGAAATATGCAATTTTCCAGTGTTACCTCATTTTTAAGAGCTCTTCCATATCTTTGCAAGCGCGTCGCCCATCACATAGCCTCTGGATAAGAGTGTCATATCCAGTGTTGCTGGTGAATTCTGGGCCCTGAAACCAAGAGGATTAGATATCTCCAACAGTAACAAGATTTAGGTTATGAGGGACTGTGCATCTCAGTTTTAATCTTGAATCACTGGGGAGTTTCTGGGCTCTACTTGTAGCACTATGTTCATAAAAATAAGGCCTTATTTGAAGAGTTGATATCTATGCAAAACAGAATATGTGGTACCAGACTGTCTAAGGTGGTTTAATCATTGACAATGTGCGATAATATTAACATGGAATGCTACTGAAAATGAACCATTCTTATATTTGCAACTGAAAGAAAATAACTATTTTGACACCAGCTGGATACACCCCGCCCTAACACTGAATAGCACTCGCGTGGCTTTACATGCAAATCAACCCAGAAGTCGCTTTGTAGATGGATGCTCCGACAACACAGATCAAAGCTAAAGAGAGGGTAGAGTGGGCACAAAGTCAGCCGTTCAACAGGAAGCCTACAGATCATCTTCCATGACACAACGTCAGAATGTCTATATATAAACACTAAACCCACAAATGTAGAAAAGAATTTTGAGAAAGGCCAAGACAGATATCTTACTCTAAAAAATCATATCCAAATCTTAATTTTAGAGAACATCTCAGTACTCTCAGTGCAAATCTAATCCAACATCTAACTGAAACACATGTTAAGAAATGGAAACGATGACAGATTATAGTTAAATTTGTCTTATATAGATACACTAATTACGCTAGCACTTTATTTTATTTTCACATGAACATACTATGTACTTATTGTAGTAAGTTAATACTAACTAGGTACTAAACCTAACCCATGTAGTAACCTTACACTACTCGGTACATTGTGGGTAAGTATATCGAAAGTGTACGTACTGTAAATAAAGTGCAACCCTAATTCCTGATACAAATTAATAGAAATGACAGTGCACAAAAAATACTGATATTTAATAACTCGTCCAATACATTCTTTAGGTAAGGTAAGGTGATGTGATGCTGTTAGACACATTCATAATCTACCCTGTCAATCATAATAAGCGATATGGTTATCATCAAGCATGTCCTAACTCACATACCCGTTCAATCTAATATGTCAAAATAGCTCAACTCGTTCACTTACCCAAAAAGAATCTTTGAATTGTAACGGTGTCATTCTAAAGGCAGTTTACAGTAGTGAGAACGATACAAGCACACAGAAGGAATCAAAGGCGGAATTAAGAAAAGTAAAAGAAAGAACAGACAATGCCACGCGCAGGAAACCGCTGTTTCACAGCACACTCTTGCTGCTCAGGTTTGACTCAGATAAGGAAGCTCCCTCCTATTATGTCAGTGACCACAGTGAGCCTGCCCTACAGATACTATGCATGCATGCAGACGCCATTTGAATACTAGATAGGATGACACATCTGAAACAGTGGGCTTTTGGAAAATTTAAAGAGTCAAGAGTTTTCAGGTGTCGAAGAGAGTTTAGGCAAACAAAGCCATCATCGAAATAGGGTTCAGTTAAGTAGTTTAAGTAAATCAAGTTAAATCAAGACAAACATTGATTTGATTATCTTTTGACTGCAAGCAACAGCACAGTAACTGAGTTTGATTTTATAGAGGGAGCAAAAAGAAAAGTGCATGTTACACAGCTTAACTCAAATAAAAGGCAACATCACAGGTCAAATTAGATAATAGCATTGATAAAAGTAAAAGTTGCATGTCATCAAATAAAAATTAATGCGTAAAAACTCGAGTAGTCTTTCTTTGTGTTGTGATGTGGTGAGGAACGAACCCAAGTGCAGACAGCGAGTAACTCAAACAAGGTTTAATGACGATAAAACAGAAAGCAAAAACCCACGATGGGGCAAAAACAAGACAGGATAAACTGATACGACTACAAACACGACTTTCAACAGGAACTCACAACTCGAACGATAAACATGGAACTCGAGACAGGTATCACAAGGCTTTGATGAGGTTAGACAGTCAACATTGATTAGACAATGAACCGACAAAAGACAGCGAGAACACGGGGATTACATAGGGAACACTAATGACCAACACAGGTGATACTAATAATACAATGATGACAAGACAGGGATAACAAGGGGGGCGGAGACTGGAAACGAGACAACACAAGCACATGACCAAAACACAAGGCCATGTGCTTGCACACAGAACATGGGTCTGTCATGATCCTGCCGCTATACTAGAAAATGACGGACATGATGGCAGAATCATGACACTTTGTGGCACCACAAGAAGTATTTATAAAAGGTTTTAACTATTACAACTCATCATGTGGCACATGGAGCTGTCTTCCATAATCGGTCACTTCACTGTTCATGAAAGTGTCTTGGTTTTTTAAAATCTCTGCCTCTGAGAGCCTTTCATCACCATCTTGATCCATTTCCTTGATGAGATGAATAGCCTGTATAACAATCAAGAAAAAAAATATTTAGAATATATTGTTAAAAATGAAAAAAAAAAAACCTGGATACTCGATATATCGGCCACCATATCGGTATCAGCAGATATACTGTATGTTCATTTTTAATGTTGTTGTTATCGGCCCAACAAGAAAATTTGGCCTATATATTATAGCCGATAAATAATGGATTATTTCCTTCAGCCGAGACACTTCAGATACGCACTGTTAGCCATGATGGTTATGAATTGTCAATATATCGGTTTTCAAATATAAAGAATTTTTAGTTATTGGTCAAATTTTTTATATCGGTGGATCCCTATAAAAAAGTATATAAGGCAGCTGGATGACACATTAACTCACTTCTTCTCGTGCCGACCCATAGCTGTTCGGAGCGACCCAGCGGAGCTGTTCATCCCTGTTGAGTTTTCCATCCTTATCCTGGTCATAGAGATCTTTAAAGCGCACCGTTTCCTCGACCTCCCACTGCGAGGGCTCGTCCTGCTCTTTAACACAGACAAGCAAACATGTATGTTTCTGATAATAATCTAACACAATCCTGGAAAATATTTAGATGCTAACACCTTGAGTTCCCATAATTCTGATTTGTCTGATTTCAAATGAAGCCAAATGTGTATGATGTACAGTATGGAAGCACATATCGGTTATCGGCTAATATTAGCATTTTTTTAATGTATTATTATTGGTCAATATTTGATTGTGCATGCTTATTTTCCATATTTTAATCTTTAAAAATGTTTTCAATTGTAAATAGACCTGCACGATTCTGGATAAATTGAGAATCGTGATTTTTTTTTTTTCAAATAGAGATTAAGATTCTCCAATGATGAACAGACAATTAAACAAAATAAAGTGATTTATTAGAGGTTCTGACAAAAGGTTAATTGCTGCTGTAAGGCTGGAAAAACTGCAAGAGAAGCTATTCTCTGAGAAAACAAAGGAAATTAACATTTGAAATCTCTTGCTATATTACCATCTGTGAATAATTATTATACAGTTTTACACATGTTTGGTATCATTTGAAATGTCTCGACTGGTGCGACTGGTACAAAGGTCTCATTCCCAAAGAGTAAAACAAAAGGTAATAACGATTTTAAGAGTTTAGAGATAACTTGCACACAAAGGAGGGTGGGTAAATGGTCTCCTGCTCTCAGAAGGTGTAAGCTCCCATTGTTAGCAAATGTTTCCATGTACATCAACTTCTGCCCCCAGTAAGTCTGGGACGGTGATTAATGTAAATTCCCACTGTGAACTCATGTTTACATTTGAAAAGAGGTTTCTGCCTTGGTCTGTCTATATAATGCAATGCAGCAAGAGGTTCGGAGTGATTTGTAACTCAAATTAGCCCATAATGTTAAAGGACCTCAGGGCTTCAGCATTATGTATTTTTCTAAATGTCGGGTTTAACCTACATCTTTTACTCATTTGATGTTACTGTATTGATTATCTTTGAACTGATTATGAAATTGGCATGATACATTTACCTGACATAATAAATTGTATTTGATTTTATTTAGTGCTGGGCCGTTATCGGCGTTAACGTGCTGCGTTAACGTGAGACTCTTATCGGGCGATAAAAAAATATCGTCGTTAATCAAAGTTGGGTTGGGATCATAAATAGCTTTTTCGAATATCGTTATATTTTCGCGCAATTCTAATGTGTAGTATGACGCCGCGCCTACTGTCACAGATCGCGCAGTAGGGTATTTTCCTGTCAGGGACACAAGGTGTACTTTTACTTTGTTACGTTGGGCGACGTTCCTCTCGTTTCTTTATTTTAATGCAATACGTTGTTAAATGAGTTTATTCCAAGCGCGCTGTGTCCTTTGTATGGGCATGAGCGATGCTCATTTACAAATGAATCACTCTTTTGAGTCGATTCTGTTCAAAGACTCCATCAAACAAGTTGTCAGATGATCTGTCTAAATCGGTTAGCGAATCAGTTGATCTGTTCAGTTCCTCGCGCATTGAATCGTCTGAAGCGCTTTCAATTCACACTCGGAGTCGAAACAGGAAGATTTAAGAGCATCAAGAGCGTTGGATGAAGTGGCCGATCTACAGTCTAGTCTAGTGAATGCAAATCTGCAAATGCATCATATTTTTGCCAGCGATGAAGATCTTTATTAGTTGAACATCTTCGTAAGCTGTCTGTGAATGAATGATTCCCATTCCACAGGACGATACATTCGATTTCATTTCATTCAGTAATACATTGTGTGTGTATTGCGCAGTGGCATAATCACACGAATAGTTTACATTGATTGAAACTAATTTGTTTAAAAATGAGGCTATTGCAGTAACAAGGCAGGTTCACATAAAATTCTTATGACATATGATGACATTATTTTTTGATCTAACGAGCATTGGCGATGCAAAAACGGACTGTCGTGCGTATTGTTTTTCTTCTTCTTCTTCCAATTAGCCTACTATGTTAAAAAAAGGACGAAAACATGTTACTTGTTCAATTAATAAACAGTTTGTTTGATGACAAATCGCTAAAGATGAAATTGGCCTCCCTTTCTGTCATTGCGTTGTTGTTGTTTTTTTTTTTGTTGTTTTTTTACGATATTCGAGTTTTGCTCCTCGATTGTCGAATGGCATTTTTGGCAGAAATGCACATCCCTACGCGAGGCAAACTATTCTCAAAGACTTACTTTTAGTCATTATTTGGGTAGCACACATATTCTGAATGCCTTCGGGAGAATTCAAATGAGCCATTTTAATCTAGATTAATCTAGATTAATTTCTAGATTAAAAAAATTAATCTATGCCCACCTCTAATTTTATTCTAACGGATAGTCAAACATTCGCTTACATTTAATGATGCACAGATATCATTAAAACCTTTTCATTTATGGAGTCAGATGAGATAACGAGTTAGTACATGACAAAATGCATTTAATTTAATCAAATTACTTTGCCACGAGGAAAGACAGTAAACCACAGAGACCTTCGCCCGCTGATCGGATGCCGCCATTACACTGCCATCCGTTTAAAAAAGTGTTTATTTATTTGAAAGATTAAAAAACGGTTGAATGAATGATTCAATGACTCACCATTTATCGGTTATTGGATTATTTTTCTTTTGTATTAGTACATCACTAGTGTAATGACTATATACACTGTTATTTATCCCAACATAATCATACCATTTGCTCGGAGATCTCCAATGAATTCACTCAAGCTGATGAATCCATCTTTATCCAAGTCATATTCAGTTAGCACATCTTCAATAGCAAAATCCTGGGAAAAATGCAACCACACAGCACATAGTCATACATGGATGTTTAATATCGAATCATATTTATGATTTATTGCAGCTTTATTGTATACTTACAGCCATGTGGTCCACCTCAGATGGATGAGTAAATGCAAGGAACTCTGTTAAGTTCAGGCCAACTGAGCCATCCGTATCGGCAAAATAAAAACGTCTTTTTTCCTTTGCATGGAGCTGTGAGTGGGTAAAACAATTATTATCAATCATGCAACACTTTTCATTCCCGTTCCATAATATGAAATGCTAATGAATCATGCAACATACAAATCTAAGTGACTCCTCCTCTGGGTCCTCAAGAACAGCATCTTTATCCACTTCCACAGTATGACCATGCATGACCATATTGTATTCGTCCCAAGATACCAGACCATCATTGTTGTAGTCAAACTCAGAGAAGCGTTCCTCAGCATCATCCAGCGCATATCTCCTGTACACCCTTTGTATCCATAATGTGATTTCCTCTAGAGAAGCAACAGAGAATGCTTATTAATTAAAACATACACTACTGTTCAAACGTTTGGGGTCAGAAATCTATTCTTTTATTCAGTAAGGACACAGTTAAATTGATCAAAAGTGACAGTAAAGACTTGTATAATACTACAAAAAAATTATATTTCAAATAAATTCTAAATTTTGCTTAGTAGATAAATGCTTAATATAATAATATAATGATACAATATTATTACTGACTGCACTGACACCGTTATATGAGAACTGAACTGAGCTGGACAGTGACATTTTTTTGCAGAACAGATTCATACAGTTGTGGTCAGAATTAATGGCACGCCTGGTAAATATGATCAAAAATGGCTGTAAAAAAAATATATATATATTTTTTTTTTTGCACAAATATAACCTTTCATTGAAGTAAAAGAATTGAAAGTGCACATTATGAAATAAATGTTTTTCTCCAAAACACGTTGGCCACAAATATTGGCTTTTATTAAAAACTTTTTGCAACCTCCTTTTGCCAAGATTACAGCTCTGAGTCTTCTCCTATAATGCCTGATGAGTTTGGAGAACACCTGACGAGAGATCAGAGACCATTCCTCCATACAGAACATCTCCAGATCCTTCAGATTCACAAGTTCATGTTGGTGCTTCTCCTCTTTAGTTCAACCCACTCATTTTCTATACAGGGTTCAGTTTAGGGGACTGGGACGGTCATGGCAGAAGCTTCATTTTGTGCTCAGTGACCCATTTTTATGTTGATTTTGATGTTCGTTTTGGACCGTTGTCCTGATGGAAGATCCAACCACGGCCCATTAGAAGATTTCTAGCAGAGATGGTCAGGTTTTGCTTTTTTATCTGTTGGTATTTGCTAGAATCCATAATACCATGTATCTGAACAAGATGTCCAGGACCTCCAGCAAAAAAATAGGCCCACAACATATAAGATCTAGCAGTATAATTTAACCGTAGGCATGGGGTACTTTTTATCCCTGTGTTTGCCCAAACACATCTGGTTGGTTTGCTGCCAAAAAGCTCTTTTATTATTTAATCTGACCATAGAATCCGGTTCCTTTTTGTTCCAGTCTTGTCTGACAACGTAAAAAATTCTAGGGGTTCCAATAATTGTGGCCAACGTGTTTTGGAGAAAAACATTTATTTCATAATGTGATTTCCCCCCCACTTTCAATTCTTTTACTTCAATGAAAGGTTATATTTTTGCAATTTTTTTGGATGAACAGTGCAGATTATTTTTTACAGACATTTTTGATCATATTTACCAGGGATGCCATTAATTCTGACCACAACTGTAGATGAAATTAACTATTTTAATAATAGATGATTTCAAATCTTAGTTATAATATAATTAATATAAAAAATATTAGGCAGCACAACTGTTTTCAACACTCATTATAATAAGAATAATTATTCTGAGCACCAAATCATAATTTCTGAAGCATCATGTGACACCGAAGAATTAAGTAATGATGCTAAAAAGTCAGCTTTGCATCACAGGAATAAATTATTAAAATAGTAAACACTTTATTTTGCAATGATATTTCACAATATTACTGTATTTTTTATCAAGTAAATGCAGCCTAAAGGGGGTCGCACACCGGACGAGAAGCGCAGCGCCGCGTCGCGCAGCGCCAGGTCTTTAAAATTCGAACACATTATTCTCTATGAGTGTACACACACCGGCGGCGCCATTCGGCGTCTGTCCGCGGCGCCCAGCTACGGCTCAGGACCTTGTTCAAAACCCTGCCGCGCCACAGAGCGCCATTTGCATAGTTTTATATTAAATTTGCATTTATTTGTCTCAAATCGTCGTTAATGTACATGGCTTCACCCTGTGCTGTTTTCACTCGGGTTAGCTAAACGCTAGCTAAATAAATACTATTGTATTATGTGACATAGTTGCCTAGACAACGGATAACGTTACAACAAAATAACAGACTCAACGTGATAGACACTTTTACTTGATTAACGTTCAAACATCAGCTATTATTCAATGAACATAAAAAAATAAATAATAAATCAAGATAAAACACACATCGTGCAGCTCTTCTACCAGGAGTTGATTCAAAATTGTGCTCGCGCGATTAGAATGTGCGCGTCCGGTGTGCGATACCTGGAGTTGTCCTAGACGTGGCGCGACGCGGCGCTGCGCTTCTCGTCCGGTGTGCGACCCACTTAAGTGAGCATAAGAGACTTCTCTCAAAAACATTTACAAAATCTATGTCAGTAGATCATCTGACACGTCTCATGTGTACGTGCTAAAATAAATGTCAAGTAACCAAACGAGAACTGACCTGGAGTCAGGTATTTATCAGAGTTGGTGTCAATCTTTTTCACTATCTCCACCAGTCGCTTCCGCTGCTCAGATGGATTTAGTTTCTGTATTTCATCTTTGTCCTGAAAATCAGTAATAGTTAGTAGAATGAAACTGGATTACTTTAAAGATTTAAATAACTGTTATAAAAAACCATGAAGATGATACCTTAGAGCCAAGGAACATATTTGCATTATGTTCATGGTTATGTTGGTCCTCTTGGACAATTTGGCTGCCAATACCTCCTGATGCACAACAGGCCACCAGCAATAATAGAGCTGTGTATACAATCTTTAAACCTGATAAACACACAATACAAACAAATTAGATGAAAAATCTGTCATTAATTAGCTACTCTCCCTCATGTCATCCCAAACCTGTAAAACTTCCGTTCATCTTCAGAATACAAATGAAGATCTTTTTAATAAAATCTGAGAGCTTTCTGTCCCTCCATTGACAGCAACTCAACTACCACTTTGATGCTTAAAAAAGTTCATAAAAAGATTGTAAAATTAATCCATATGAATTGAACGGTTTAGTGATGTGTAATACTGATGTGTGAGTTGGTGAATCACATATGTGTGATATGTGAATAAAAGCCTAAATTAAATCTGTTCATCATTTAAGTGATCTTGTCTCTTCAGAAAATGTTGAGTAAACCGCTCAATTCATATGGATTAGTTTTACGATCTCTTTATGAACTTTTGAAGTATCAAAGTGGTAGTTGCGTCACTGTCAATGGAGGGACAGAAAGCTCTGAGATTTCTTTAAAAAGATCTTCATTTGAATTCTAAAGATGAACAAAAGTCTTACAGGTTTGGAACGAGTAATAATGACAGTATTTTCATTTTTGGGTGAACTATCCCTTTAACAAGATGATCTCGACTGCCCTCTTGTGATGTTGGGCTACACATTCCCATTTCAAATCATCTAACAATATCGACGTTGGTAAGGAAGGTAGGAGAATAACAAAGAGGTTTCAAATAATAGCAGTCTGTAGCCAAAATATATATTTAAATAAAAATATACATAACATGTATCTCCTTTTGTGTTATGAGGACTTTCTGATATTGTGGAAGGCGCTTTGGTGGCTAAGTGCGAATTATTTTTTTTTATGTAAAAAGCGACTAGAAAACGTGGAAATTCATGCCAAGGATCACACTCTGTTATCTATTTATTTAAGGCACCTACAAGAAGAATGCACCATACGTGTTTGCGAAACAAAACACTTACTTTCGAAAGGCTGGTTGCTAAAGTTTTGAGCTGAGCTTGTTGCCATGGTGCGCTCCGGTCATCTGGACTCTCACTCGGCGTTTCCTATGTTTACTGTTACCGCTGCCTACAGGCCTGGAGGACGAGCAGAGAGAGACCTAAAGTCCCCATGAAATCAAAATGGGCGAGACACCCCTCGCTGCAGACTGTAGCGCGGTGACGTCACGTATTCACAGCGAGTCTTAAATGATATTTAAGTCTTAATTCGCCTTTAAACAAATGGGCTTGGAAGATGTCTTAAAATAGAGCAGAAAGACTTCAATTAATGAAGTCATGTAGTTTATTGTTGCATCCATTGCAAAAGAAATGTTGTCCCTCAGTATCAGGTCGTACTGTAAAAGTTACATTCCTGAATGTACTGTAAGTTATGTTAAATACATTTGTGGTAAAATGAATTAAAAAGTAATGGAGTTAAACATTGTATTTTGCTAAAATAAAACTCATTGTGATTCTCCTTAGTTTTTTTTTTAGTTTTTTAGTTTTTTTTTTTAATCATTTAGAGAGCATATTTATGTTTTTAGTTCCCTTAGATTTACTCTTAAAAAGGTGTTAAAGTCCCCGTGAACTGGAAGTTGCAAACGAATTTTCTCCAGTGTTGTGACGTATTTCAGAGAGAAACGGAATACTAAATGAGGCAAAATAGTGGGCCTGGCTTTTTTCCAACTAGCACCTGATTGGATCTAGAAAAGTAGGTGTTTTCATTCAGCCTGTCTACTGTCAGTTGGAGGGGCGTGGTTACGGATGTTAAGCAGACACCCAAACCGTCAAACCTACGTCATCAGGGAAGGTCTTCCAACGCAGAGGGGAGGGGAAATTTCAGCTTTTGATTAAAGATTACGAAGCCAAAAAATATTTTTGTGTGTGGATTGACTTGCATGGATGAATTGTTCACCACAAAACGATCAATTTAGGCAAACAAAGTAAGTATGGTCAATTTTGAATTCATAGGGACTTTAAAGGAAATCTTAAATTGACCTTCATGTGACTGGCAGAAACCCTGTTAAAGTCAGTTATAGAAAAAAGCAAACCTTAACTTGATTGTTGATGTTCTTTTCTAGATGCATGTTAGTGTCCTTAAAAAAGGTGAAAGCATTCAAATAAATCAATGCAGCTCATCTTGTGACAAATATCACTGTCCATTCTGTGCGACCTGGGTCAACAAACCAAGGGAGTTTTACAGTGCGGAGAATCATCTGCAGGCAGCTACAGGAAGATGGTGTGTATCTGTGTGTAGTGCTTAAACATCCATAAAACATATTATTTTGTTATTATATTTGCATCTTACAATGGTTTTGCTTACATTTTCAGATTTCATTATTATCAGGTGCAACCTAAAATGCAGAAATAATTCACATTTTCATTGCATGTATTGTTCCATCCCTGTTTTACGTAAAGCACAATTAGAAATTCATCTCTCAAATTGCAAACAAAAGATTCAATCTCTGCAAAAAACTGCAGCACCAACGGTTCTGATTGGTAATGCACCTCAACCCTCAGGGTCTGCTCAGACAGCATCCCTACTTCAACTGCAACCTCAGCCTTCACCAAGTGGACCATACGTCTGTCTCTCCTACAGATCATGTCCCAAGGGGTTCAAAACGAATCAGAGTGAAATGTATGCACTGTGGAATTGAACTTAACAAGAAGAACCTATGCCTCCACATTCAAAGAAAACATACAGATGTGAAACAAACAATTACAAATGAACGACACTTTCTTAGCCAGTGCATTAACAGTGAGAATGGTATTTTTGCTGTTCCTTTGGTTCAATACATGTGCAGAAGAGGGCATGGGGGGCAAACCACAGAATCATGTGTGACTGTGTGAGGTAGACCAGTGTAACACAAACACTGACTTTGCATTTCGAAGTGGTTTGGTTTGAACTTAAGGCATTTGAACGCAACCCTATTAAAGATTAAAATTTAAAATGATCAGTTGTATGAGATAGCCTAGCTTTATCTTTATCAATTCTATGATCATTGAAGTGTATAGCAATTTCTTCTTAATTAAGGAAGTAAACATGTTGGCAAAGCAAGTTATGGAAATGAACGAAGTTGATATGCAAATAGGCCAATATATAGCATTGGAAAGACATTTACATTTTTGTTATAGAAAAAATATAGGCTATTAAAAATACTAGCCTACTTAAAATGGCGGCATTGTTGAGATACAGAAGCAATGTAGACATTTTGGCTGGGGAGACCAGCGAAGGGTTTCTAAGATAATAAAGGTAATATAATATAATATAAATACTTAGAACAATACAGCAGGTGGCATCGATGCACTATATTTGTTTGCAATCCGCGGTTAGACAACCAAAAGAAGCGTGTTACGTTTTCTGACCTCCAGATGTCGTTGTTTGTCCGTGATCTTTACTCTCCGATCTCCAGCAGGAACTGACGTTTGTGTCTACGACTACATGAGCAAATTTTCCAGCTGGAGGAATATGTCCAGCGTCAAAGATCCGAGAGTCTGAAGGTGGGAATCGTCATTTATTTACACAAATTCTTACTAAGCCGTTAAGTTTACCGTCAGCTCTGTTCTTCTGCCTACCGGAAGTATAGGATGTTGTGTTTGTAGGATGAGTATTTGTGTTGTTTGTTTTTCTTTTGCTTGTGTTTTCACTTTTGTTGCCTCGTAGAGTGCGCCAAAATTCCGAAATATGTGCACAAACATTGCGTAAAGTTTCTGAAACTGCTTTCTAGAAGAGATATATTGTTTAAGTGTATATACATAGTCTTTTGTGATGTTTTACCATGTCGGGATGTTCGTGGCAGGTTATTTACTATGCTGACAGCAACATTTGATTAGAAATATTAATCTGTACTGGCAATCTAGAGACTGTTGTTGTGGTAAAGTTAGCTTGATGAGCTCTTTTTTGTCGCATGCTTTGCATCCATTATGAACTTTTGTTTAGTTTTTGAAATATCTTTCAAACTGTATTTATCCTTTATTCATTAAGATAAGATGGGGTTGCTTACTGTTTGGATCACTACTGTTTTAATCACTTAAATTGAACATCATTTCATCTAATACGTAATAAAAAGCCCTCTTGAGTTCAGAACAGGTTAATGAAAGTTTGTGATGAAACTTGAGTATCTGCTGCAAATTCACTAAGTTTTTGCAACACTGGGTGAAGCCTATAACTATTTAACATTAATTCTAATATAATAGCTAAAATTTAGTAGCTTATTATTTCATCTGTATTTAAAGTTAAAATATTGCTGACCATTTTTTTTATGCAAGAAAATGTAATGCACTCCATTTGCATATTTACTTGGACTGCCATTCCAGTGATTTTTCTCACTTCAAACAAACTGAAATGGCACATTCGACATTGTGTGTAATAATTATAATATTGGAATGTTTCTAACAGGAATAATAGCTCTTTTGTATGCTGCTTTGAGTCAGTATTGTTGAGATAACTGACTGGAGAAGCAGGTTTTATCTTGTTTTTTTTGTTGTTGGTTTTGTTTTTTTGCCATGCATAACTAAAATAGGCTTGTATAAATGTGTGGATTCAGCACGTATGTCCTCTTTAAAATTTCAACTGAAGTGGTTGCACATAATCGTGTTGTTCCTGCAGTGTTGCATCATTGTAGTTATATGCATGAATCATGTGCCTTGGCCCTTGAGTATGCTAGCTGAATATGGATATGCAACACATTTTTTCAGTTCTGCAATTGTTTTCTGTCACGTAAACCAACTATATTGTGTCTACTGTAAACAGGGCCGATGTAATGACATGTTTCACATATGCGTGCTGTATTGTCATCTATCATTCATTTACCCTTCTGAACTTTCTCACTGTCTTGGGAACTATCTGTCTTCTCTTGACTTGTTTTTGCTTGTGCTTAGAAAAGCATCTGAAACCAAACTCAGTGTATTTCGAGTCATTCTTTGTGTTCAGTGCATTTCTAAGTCTTAAAAGTTAGCTGATGTTCATAAACTAATGCATTTAAAAGCCATATGCATTTTCTCGTTATTCATTTCTGTACTTTGAACAGCTGGATTGAAGCTTGATTAATCATTTTATTGTTAAGTACAAAAATATATTTTGCTGTCTCCCATTATTGTTTGACACCATTTTTAAAAGGCTTTGAATTTGGGGGGGGTTTCAAATGCATAAGTGATATTTGTCATTGTTAATACAGTGCAGTCAGGCATGCACCCTGAGTAGTGAACCATTCCCACAAGCTTTAGCTGCAACGATTTGATAAAACCGAGAGCGCAGACTAGAGTATGCCACCTGCCTTTTTTCTGACATGATTAAAAGGAGACGACACAGTAACTAGACACTCCATTGCCCGGTTTCACAGACAAGGCTTTAACTAGACCCAGACTAAAATGCATGGTTGAGCTAACTGAAGGCAACTTGCACTGACTTCGCTTAAGTCACTGCCATTGTTTTGTCTCAAGATGCACACCAGTTTTTTTTCTAAGACACATTTTAAAAAGCTACTTTAATGCCCTAATTGAACTAAGGCCTTATCCTTTCTTAATCTAAGCCCTGTCTGTGAAACCGGGCCTTCATGATTTAACCATTTGATCTGGTATAGTAATCATAAATATGTTTTGAACCAGAAAACGTATCTTCAACAACAAATAGCTTTTTGGGTTGTTAGTCAACAAAATGTTGGTTTAATAGAAGGTTTAGCACTATAAAATCAAATGGTTAATTATATATATATATATATATATATATATAGCCTTAGCCTATATATCTTTTTTTCTTTTTCTTTTTTTGTACAACGTTGAGCTCAGAGTTCTTCATGATTTAATAATATAGCATTCTAAATATGATCGCATCATTTTGCATAATTTGATGTCTTACTGAAAAGACATGCTTGGTCTAGTACTCTCGTTTGTGAACAATTAGTTCCTGTCCTCGATTGTGATCTGTTTGCAGCTGTAGTAAAACGCTCTATAAACGCATACCCCTGACCTCATTACATCAGTGGGCTGGTTCACACAAAACACGTTTTTGCGGTTAAAAACGCAAGCTTTGAGACATATTTTTAAGAAGTTATTTTAAC